ATGAGTTGAAACACTGTCAGGTTCTCCTGCAGATTGATTCAATAAGTGAGTACTTGGACTACATGCAAAATTGTCTTACCAGTAATACTGGTTAAGCTCCAGTAATGCACATTACAAATGCTCATCATTTATCATGGAGCTCTTCTTTGGCTGCAGTGCTTTCGTCTCACAGCTGCTGTCCATCTTTTACAGCATTCCTTATCATTTAGAGGGAATCTAAAGACCTTTAATCCCTTTTTTGCCCAACCAGTCATTGCATTTATTTAACTAAACAGCAGCTTTTAGGCATCTCCACCATAGGCACAGCTATAATCTTTCCCCCCAGTGGGTGTAATCTGACCGCACCCTATGATGAATACAATTTACATCTCATTAACATTCCACCAGTCGCGTATCGTGAAAAGGTCTATAAATTTTGTAACTACTAAAATCAAATTGCATGAACAATATTTAGTTGTACATGCATATTTATAATAATTAATAGACAACATACATAGCCACTGCAAGAATGATGAGATGACAGTTAGGCTCATCAAGAAGTGATTTATGAACTCCAGATTTTCCAAGAAAATCAGAAATCGTCTAACATGAAATAAATAAGGTAAGGTGAGAAATACCAACTATAATAACCTTAGCTTTGTCAAACCGTTCACTTGATACTGAATTTACAATGCTAATTAATAATTCGGCTGACAAATTTTGAGACCTTAACAGAAAATCTTCCAACTATACAGCACAAAATTTCAAACTCAAAAGTAAACAATTTCTTACTTCTTTGTTAAAACTATAGTCATAGTCAAAGTAGCTTGAATTGATTTGTTCCTCATGTATCCATTGAAATAATTGAAATTTGTGTGATTCTTCTGATAGATCAATTAGATTAAAAATGATTTTCATCCAATTCTCAAGTATTGTATAGTAGTCATATCCGCTCCACTTTTGCTCATCAATTAACAAAATCAGGCATGCTAAAAATTCTTTTCCCTAATTAAGAGAATTAATTTTTGTGAAGCCACAAGAATCACAGGTAATTAAAAAATGTATGCAAATGACTTACTTCTTTTATTACATTATTGGCATCAACACTAAAATGACTTGCAATCTTTTTCTTCCGTGAAGCATTCAAGCACATATCTGTCAATGGCTGCAGAAAATCAATTCTAAACGAACTATCTTGTCTTGATCTTATAAGATACTTCACACTTTGAGTAATAAATTCCCTATTCAAAACAAAAATTATATTGCATGCAATGTTATGCTCTAATTGATGCATTGATGCACCAGAGATAGGACCTTGGGGCTATCATATCTTAAAATCAAAAAATGAGAGTATCAGTTTTATCTATTAATAGACAATAATTGTTATTATTGTTTATCTGTCTGTTTGTATGTACATGTATGTCACTTCTTTTTATGTTTGAACTAGTAATTAAACTTGTTGGGCAAAGCCCCTGGTCATTCTGTTTGTTTGCCTGTTCATGTGTATGATAGGCCCTGAGCAGTAGAGCCCTTAATGTCTTATGTACATTCTTAATGAAGTTAACTTCATTCATGCCCATGTATTGCAAACAGATGATATAAAAAAAGCTGTACTCTAATTAAAAATTAGCACAAAAAATGTGTAATAATGTATGACAGAGGCCTTGATCAGATCAGCCTCTTATTATGCAGAGCGTAATCTCACTTCATGGTTTCAAAAGTGTAAACTTTGCTAGATAAAATGAGATACAAATCTTTCCATTCAGACATTAAATGAGGAAAGCCTTCAAGTATTGTCGTCATTGCTTTCAGTCCTTTCTCTAGGCAAAGCAAGTGATTCTGACTGAAACCAGACTTGTAATACTGTATAATAAAAATAATATTAAAATCACAAGCATTATTACATGTATGTGATACATTTGAGTTGATTACTAAAAGTACAAAAAACAAAGCCATTTTGTTTCATCACATAACAAAATAATGATTTATTTAAAAATTAATGGCACAAAAAGACACAAGCAATTAGCAAAAAGAAAATTTGAAGGAGATTTATAAAAAAGTAAACCACATTACAAAAATGAGGTTTAGAATGATGTAAAAATAAAATAAGCAACACGGTAGCACTAAAATGTTAAATTTAAGAGTAACCAACAATTAAATGTATATTAAAAGGAACTGACAATTATATAATACTGAACAATAAATAGTAATATGCACCAGTACATTTACCTCATTAAATTTCTTGTTCCAAATATGATCATACTTTGCTAATTTCTTATCAGAAAAACTATTAATCTTAACACCAATAGAAACTAAATAAAGGATCAGAAGAATTAATGTCAGATTAATAAAAATGGCATTCACATACTTAATAGAAGAGTCACATGGAACGCTTCTGAAATTTCTCCTCTTTTAAAATATAATTCACAATGCTTTAAGAATGCTTTAGCAGTGTGCTCAAAAACACTGGACAAATTGACTGCACTACTGATATCTGCTTTAAAATCTCCCCTAACAATTAGTAGGGTCAAATGAAAGCAAAAAACAATCAATGCAACTCACAGTTTTACAAAGTGTTCCACTTGCTCTGCTACAGTTTCAATTGGGACCTTTTTTAATTTATGTAAATAATGAATCATAACTTTATGAGCATTTTTCTCCACAGATTCATTTCTAAGGGAGACAAAAATATTTAGTAGTGGCTAAAGTGTATGTTAACTTAAAATATGGGTCAAGATTATACTTAGAGGTGTTCTGTACAGAGATAAAATTAATTATCTCTACAATTATCAAAATTTTACATCAATATTTATTTCCATACATCAGTTCTATCAATAGCCTACCTATAATTTGTATAAGCCAAATCAAAATAAAAGATAAAGTCCTTAGGAAACATGTAATCAAAGTGAATTGGCTGATGCAAGAGGTTAAAGATACAGTTTACACTGGAGGAAACTGCAAGTTGCACATCAATATGGTTCTAAAAATAAAAGATAGCAATAATTGTTAACAAGATATTAATAATAAGATTTATATTGTAGATGGGTCAGTGCAACTAAAAACATCCTTTCCGCCCCAATTTTGTATGTTGGCCGGCTATCAAAGTAGTCTATGCTGTAATACATATAAGAACAGCAGTAAAATAGTAAATGATAAGGATACTATAATAACTATTATTCTTTCATTGTTATTTTAGTCAAAGATACATGACCTTTAAGGCTCAAAAAGGGCTACTACGAGTAAAGGCTGGTTCACAATATGACGTTAGGCCAACGTACTGTCAATTTTTAATCAAAAGCATGGGTAATTTGACCTTTTGATGCATGCTTTCCGCTGGAATAGAACCAAATTCTATTCCAGCGTCAACGTAACGTCAGGACTAACATAATATTGTGAACCAGCCTTAATTTTGGAGGGAGGATTTTTTGGTGAACTGCTAGATTGACTGGCAAGTAAGTGAAATTGTGCAATGTGAATAATGGATTTCTGTTATAGTTCATCAAACTGCCAAAATTTCCATCCAAGATCTAGGACAACTCAAATCAAAAATTGATTATTAAATATTTGTAAACAGAGAAATATGCTTACATGTAATATAAAGCAAAAAATCTTAGCAGATAATTGATACAAACCCAAACATACTTCCAAAGATTGATAGCAAAGGAAATCCAAAAAGCATGAAAGAACCCTCTTATCTTCAGGACAAATATTTGGATATTCAGAAATTCCACTAGACAGTGACACAGTAACACGGTTTTGAATAACGTAATGCACTACTTTAATTAAAGTAGCAAAATTTTCTGATTCTTGAGGCATTAAAGCTCGCATAACTATATCATGGATGATTAAATACATTGAATGCATTTGTAAATGTATTTACCTTCATTCTTAGACTCTGTGATATTGACTGTAACTTCGAGATCATGTCCCTTCTCTGCCAGTTCCAGTACATCTTTCTTATGTCTCCTTGAAATGAATATAATCCTAAAACGAAGATCCGGAGGTGAGAATGGCTGCTGTTGCTCCTCTCTAGCAATAATGAAGAGAACTTCAAGTTTATCTCTATCCTTGTATATCTGATATATGCCATCAATAGTATCACTTCTAGACTCTTTCATCAAATGCATTTGCATGTAAGGCACTGAGTGTGGAGGTGGAGCATCTTGTGGTATGAGAGGGCACCATGGAGTGACTATTGCTTCAAGACTAGGCCCGCAGCAAAAGTGTCCATGAAACTTAAGCTCGTTAACCTGAGCTTTAGGCCTAATCCTTATATCTGTAAACAAATTAAAGTAAATTAGAAGCT